GTGCCGCACGCTCACCATCTTTCACCAGCTCTCTTGCCCTTGTCCAGCCCTGACTCTCAGCCTTGGCCTCTGACTGTCTCTGACCATCTTTGACATCTCTACCACGCTTCTCTCCAGGCACTTCTGTCACCTCTCCTCTCTGGCTTCCTCTGTCTGCCCTTCCTCTCTACTGTCTTTCACCATCTCTCTTGCCCTCCTCCCACCCCTGACCCTAACTGCTAGTTGATGACCACACGACCATCTCCGGCCTTTATCGACCACCTCTCTCCTCTCTGTCTCTCTGATCATTTCCCTGGCTGCCTTTCCTCTGATGACCCCTCTCCACACCCATCATCCTACTCAGCTATCCTTTCCTCTCTGACCACCTCTCTGGCTTTTGACCATTTCTGACCATCCTTGACCATCTCTCCTGGATCTGACGGGCCCTGACCACTTCCCCTCTCGTTATCCACTGCTCATGTTCTCGATCATCTCTAACCACCTCTCTTCTCTGGTGATGACCGACTACTTCTCATTACTCCCGCCTCCCTGACCACCTCTTCTCTCTTTAGCCATCTTTGACCATATCTCTGTGACCATGTCTGAGGCCCTCTGGCTTACCGTCTACCCACCCTGACCAACCCTCCCATTCTCTGACTGTCTCTGACCATTTCTAACCACCTCCCTTCCCTCTGACAGTCTTTGTTCATTTTTGCTCCCTCTGTCCCCCCATGACACATCTCTCTGAGTCTTTGACCATCTCCTCTGGATTTTGATATGTCTGACCACTCCTCTCTGACCATCTTTAACCAACTCTTCTGCTCCCAGCCCACTGTGACTTTCTTTTCTGGTCTTGGACCACCCCAGCCCCCTCTGGCACCCTTTTTCTGACCTCAGCCTGCCCTAATGCCTCCTTCTTCCCTGTAGGCCGCCCCTGCCCGCGATGGCCGTCTTCCCGCTGCTCCTTTGCCTGCTACCGCTGGCCCCTGCCTCGTCTCCACCCCAGCCAGCCACACCCAGCCCGTGTCCCCGCCGCTGCCGCTGCCAGACACAGTCACTGCCCCTGAGTGTGCTGTGCCCCGGGGCAGGTCTTCTGTTCGTGCCACCCTCGCTGGACCGCCGGGCAGCTGAGCTGCGCCTGGCAGACAACTTTATTGCGGCTGTGCGCCGCCGCGACCTGGCCAACATGACGGGCCTGCTGCATCTGAGCTTGTCACGTAATACCATCCGGCATGTGGCAGCTGGTGCCTTTGCTGACCTTCGCGCCTTGCGCGCCCTGCACCTAGATGGCAACCGGCTGACCTCGCTGGGCGAGGGTCAGCTGCGTGGCCTAGTCAATTTACGCCATCTCATCCTGAGCAACAACCAGCTGGCCGCCCTGGCGGCTGGTGCCCTGGACGACTGTGCGGAGACACTTGAGGACCTCGACCTCTCTTACAACAACCTGGAACAGCTGCCGTGGGAGGCTTTGGGCCGCCTGGGCAACGTCAATACATTGGGCCTGGACCACAACCTGCTGGCTTCTGTGCCTGCCGGCGCCTTTTCCCGCCTGCACAAGTTGGCACGGCTGGACATGACCTCCAACCGCCTGACCACCATCCCGCCTGACCCGCTCTTTTCCCGCCTACCACTGCTAGCGAGGCCCCGCGGCTCACCCGCCTCTGCCCTGGTGCTGGCCTTTGGTGGGAACCCTCTGCACTGCAACTGCGAGCTGGTATGGCTGCGGCGGCTGGCACGGGAGGATGACCTCGAAGCCTGTGCCTCCCCGCCTGCTCTGGGTGGCCGCTACTTCTGGGCTGTGGGTGAGGAAGAGTTTGTGTGCGAGCCCCCTGTGGTGACTCACCGCTCGCCACCCCTGGCAGTGCCTGCAGGTCGGCCAGCTGCCTTGCGCTGCCGGGCAGTGGGGGACCCTGAGCCCCGTGTGCGTTGGGTATCACCCCAGGGCCGCCTGTTGAGCAATTCAAGTCGTGCTCGCGCCTTCCCTAATGGGACGCTGGAGCTGCTGGTCACCGAGCCGGGTGATGGCGGCATCTTCACCTGCATTGCAGCCAATGCAGCTGGCGAGGCCACGGCTGCTGTTGAGCTAACCGTGGGTCCCCCACCACCTCCCCAGCTAGCCAACAGCACCAGCTGTGATCCCCCACGGGACGGAGATCCTGATGCTCTCACCCCGCCCTCTGCCGCCTCTGCCTCTGCCTCTGCCTCTGCCAAGGCAGCTGATACTGGGCTCCCTACTGACCGTGGTGTCCAAGTAACTGAGCATGGGGCCACAGCTGCTCTCATCCAGTGGCCAGATCAGCGGCCTATCCCAGGCATTCGCATGTACCAGATCCAGTACAACAGCTCAGCCGATGACATCCTCGTCTACAGGTGCAGTGTCCAGACAGTGGGCAGCATGAGTGGGGGAGGGAGGTGGAGGGAGGGTTAGAGATATGCTTACCGATACCCAGGCAGCATAGCTGAGAAATGAGGCTGCAAGGTTACAAAGGAAATCAGATAACAAAGGTAAAAGAAATCTGTCAGCAGCAGTAAAAAGAAATCAGGCAGCAAAAGTGAAAAGTAACCAGACCAGAAGAGTAAAAAGTTAATTGGGAGGCAAGTTTGGGGAGATACAAACAAATTTAAGTAGTAAAGGTAAAGCTACACCAGGTATGTCCAGGTGACAGGGCTTGACATAAGCCCGACTGCAGGAAGAAAAGGAGGTCAAGCAGGAAGGTACAGGGATCATGGGAAAAATGAAATGAGACAGCCCTGCTGCAGAGGAACTCAGGCCAGAGGTTAAAAGGAAAACGAAGGAGCAGGTTAAAGAGAGACTCGGCTTTGGGTTTGTGTCGTATGAACTACTCCACATATTTAGAGTTCTTATATGGTGACATCTCGATTTTTGATATTTTAAGTCAAATTAAACATAGTTCAAGCTCCACCTGCTAGGTGAACAGGAATGTTCAGTGTGCCACTGTTGGGGATTCCCTTCTATCTTCTGTTGTTGCAAACACAAAACTTGGGGTTTACACTCTCCAAGAGGTGGGTCAGTACAACTTCTGCCCCTGAACTGGAGAGTACTTGGAATATCTGCTGTGGCCACATGTGGTCAGTAGTGGTGGCTTTGACCTGGGTGCTGTTGACATCTCTCATCCAAGACCAGCCTTGCATGGACAGCTGTGGATGGCTCCCCGTTCTTACTGCCAGGCTGGGCCAAGGGTGCAGACACCAAGGTCTGGAAGACTGGGCCTCCCAAGGCCTGGGGTCTGCACCTTGTAAACCCAGCATCTGTGTCTCTTTTCCCTCCACAGGGGCCCACACCCCTAGAGATTGTCACTTGATTTCCTTTTCAGTCCTGGAAATCCAGTCAGCTCATTCCATTCCCTTTCACAGGCAGCACTCAGTCGATTGCATGGAGGGCCCACATCTGAAAATCACACAAGTCTTGTCCACCATGCTTGGCGGGGAATAGGATGAATGCTTTCCTAGATAGTCACCCTCCCAGAGACAATCACGGAGTTTCCTGTACCTCCTTTATTAAAGCAGTTTAAGAATAAAACAGATTATAAAACAAATTAAATCTCCAACAGGATATTCTGATACAAAAGGAAATATAGTGGAGTTGGTGCTAAGGATAAAAGGAAATGGATAAAGAGAAACCAGGCAACAGAGATAAAAGAAGATGAGGAGGCAGAGCTGGAAAGAAATAAGGCAACAGGGAAAAAATGAAATCAGTGGTGACTGAGGCACATCAGTTTAATGAAAATGATATTGGATGATAGGACTCACTGGAAAGCAGGCTATAGATACAAGAATAAGGCAACGGGCTAAGGGGGATGTTCATTGGCAGGTTAAAAGGAAATCAGGCATCATTAATATAGAGGGATCAGGCGGTGAGATTAGAGAGAATCTGGCTGTACTCTAGAGGAAAACGAAAATCAGGCACAGGCTAGAGGAAAGTCAAATGGGAACAGAGGGCCTGGAGGGAGACTGAGGTGGAATTAGAGGGAAATTGGATGGGGGCTAGAAGGAAATGGGCATCGTGTTAGAGCAGCGGTTCTCAACCTTCCTAATGCCGCGACCCCTTAATACAGTTCCTCATGTTGTGGTGACCCCCAACCATAAAATTATTTTCGTTGCTA